CAGTAGGGTAAGTTTAAAAATGGTTTTTAGAGGGGCCAGCAGGTGCCATGGAAGTTAAGGCAGCTGGATTCCACATAGATAGCTATGTGGTTCAAGTCCCAGATTGGTGACTTGAAAAACACACCTGGCACGTGTGCATGCATACCTAAAGTCCCAGGAGGAAAATGAAAGAAAAGAGACTGTGAGACTGTGGTGTGGCCATCTTCCCCACTCCCCCCCTCCAAGGTTGATTTAGCTCACTTTCTCTCTCTCTGTTTCTGGCAAGCAAATAAGCCCAACAGAAAAAAAAAAAAATCAGGTTATTAGAGGGATGGAAAATGAATAGAGAGGTAATTAAATGAAGTACAATGTTAAGTGCAGACATTCTAAGTGGTGGAAGATATACAGGTGTTTATAATTATTTTAATGTCACTGTGAGTGTATATATATTTATATATATATTTGTTTAATACTGAGGAGGATTGTATTTTAAGAAGGGCTCTGAATGGTGAACACTGTGAGGGAGAAAAATCATTAAGTTTGAATCTAATAAACTGCTTTCTAGAACTGCACTGAAGAACTCAAAAACATTCCACCTCTAATGAAATGGCAAGTACCAAGATAAAGCAGGCAGCCGTGTTTTTTAAAAAGCCCAAGTTGTAGGAGGCTGACCCAAAAGAACATCAAGCGAACAATTTGGAGTTTCCCTAAGTGTTTGGGGAGACGAAATTTTAGCAAAAGAGTTATAAAAATAGGGCATCCAGGTGTCTATTTTGCTTTAAAATGAAAGGACCTTGGGGCTGGAAGGTGACAGGGTGGTTAAAGTGCTGGACTCCCACGTGGCTAATAGCAGTCTGAGTCCTAAAACTAGCCACTTGTTTTCTCACTTTCCCTCTCTCTCTCTGTCTCTATCTGGACAAATAAAAAGAATTACAATAATAAATTTAAAAATAAAATAAAATAATTTTAAAAATCCAATGACCTTTGGATTATAATACAAATAAACATGCTCTGCATGTTTTATATTTTTAAATTTCCAATAGCTTTTATTCAATATATTAAAGTTGACAGATATATTTATGTGAATATAGTGAAATAGCTATCTGAATAAAAATATGCTTTCTACTGAATTAACTTCTCTAAGTTTTCTCAAGTTGCCTGGTACACAGATGTTTAATTATGTGTCCCTGAAAAACTGACAGTACATACATTTAAAAAATCTATACCATAGCATTAAATATATCAACAGAATAAAACAAGTATTTTATCTCCTATGGTATCTTCGGTCATTGATTCAAGTATTTTTAAACATAACATAGCTGCTAATAAAAAGGGCAGTAAAGCATACAAGGCATTAAAATAGCAGGAATCATTAATAAGTAAATGAAAACTTATTGAGATTTAAGAAAAGACACTTTAAGAGTCACCTTGGAATGCTGAGTAGGTAGTCTAAAGTGACACTCAGTTCGTCCATATTTGTCTGTTCAAGACATAATGGAATTGTCAGAATGAGGCCACTTCGTCTGTCTTTTCCTCCTATTAAGGAAAAAAGATATAAATTTAACATTTAATAGACATTAAGGTATCATGGAAAAATAGACATTTGAACCCAATGTTACTGAAACAATTACAATTTTAAGACATACTTTTAAAAGTATCTAATGGCCACTTACAGATTGCAAATTTTCTAGTAGTACAGCAAGATTATTAAAAATTTCAAATAAGAGGGAAAAATTAATCTGAAATTTTTATTCAAGCACTATTATTAGCATTTTATTTAATTTTCTTCCATTTAGTCTGTTTCTTAATGTAATCAGTTCATCATATACGTGTTGTGCTCAACACAATAAGCATTTGCAAGTGAAATAATATAAATGTCCCATCAACCTAGGAAAAGAAGCTTTACATCATAAGAAATAACAGTATAAAATATGACAGTGTATTTGCTAAGTAGTATTATTGTATGAAATATTCTAAAATATCTTTAAAAAGGGATTAAGAAAATGATGAGAGCTACAACAAATCTGAAAATTTTCATAGAAAAGTTAAAACTTAAGAAAGATGGGAGTCCAGTCAGGTGGCATAGTGGTTAAGGTGGCTGAATCCCACATGGCTCACTGCATGGTTCAAGCCTGAACTCGGCAACTTGAAAAACACACCAGGCATGCGTGCATGCATGACCCAAATCCTGAAAGGAGAATGGAGGAGAAGGGACTGCAGTATGGCCATCCCCCTAGGGGGTGCTTTTTCATTTCTCTCTCTCGCTTGCTCACTCTCTCTTCCTGCAATTACATATGCCCTGTAGCAAATTAAAGAAAAGAAGTAAAGAAAGAAAGAAAAAGAGAAATGGGTATTAATTGAAAATTGAGTCAAAAGAGAATTCTATGGGGACCAGCAGATGGTATAATGGTTATGCCACTGGACTCCCACATATTCGGCAACGGTTAGAGTCCCGAACCTGGCAGCTTGAATCCCATGCTGGGTACATGTGGGTGTGTGCCCAAAATCCCAAGAGGAGAGTGGAGGAGAAGGGAGTGTGGTGTGGCTATCCCTCTGGGGAATGATCTCTCACTGTCTGTCTCTCCAGTGAGCACACATGCCCGATAGCAAAAATCTCTTAGAAAAAAAAAAAAAAAAGAGCATTCTATGATGAGGAATGATCTGAGTTAATTCACAAATATTGTTCATAAGGCAATAAAGAGAAAACCCTGCCCAGCTGAACAGAATGCATGGGAACTGGATATTGATGCTTGAGAGTTAGGTAAGAGAGTATATAACTCATCTAACTTCAAGTTCCCTTCAGTTTGCCACAAGCACTGAATGTAACTGTTACATACTTTTATGCATACAAAGAATCTCTGTGAGTTCCCCTACATGCTTGCTCTTTACAGTGAAGCCCATCTTCTGATGCCACTGACATTCACAGCTATTTCAGAAGCTTAAAAGCCACCAAATTCTAAAAGAAATCATTTATAATCTTTAGAAGTCTATCACTAAAAACTGAAAGATGTGAAATTAACAACAAAAAGACTCCTACAATTATTTCTTATGACAGCCATAAATATTCTGCTCATTAGATTAAACATATATTACTGATACTCAGAAACTTTGTTTAATGTAATAAATGGCAATTTCAGATAGATCAACTTAATAGTCAATAAGGAACTCAACTGTATGCTTTTAATGTTTAGGATATAGATTTTATTTTCTTAATAGATTCATAGGGGTTTTCAAACTATATCCTATGGATCATTTTGTTGGTTTGAAAAGATTTTCTTGATTAATAATAAAGTTTGAAAATTTCTGGCTTAAATAATCAATGGCTAAGAGGAAATTTAGAGGTGTGGGCAAGGAGAACTTTGATTGGTGCCTCAAAAATCACCATTTTTTCCATACACTAAACTAAATCTACAAAAAGGTTCAGACCTGTACTGTAGTATTCTGACCAACTGCAGAACTGTCTAGAAGTTCAACATTTAGGACTCTATATGCTCAGTTTTACTATGGAAGAATAAAATAATCAAAAAAGCAAAGGCAAGAGAAAAAAGACTTTCAAGAAAGGTATGGTCAATGGGGTCAAATGCTGCACAGAGAAAGTATCACAGAATGTGAAAAAAGGCCATGATAAAGAGTACAGAGGAGGGGCTGACAGGTGGAATGGAGGTTAAGGTGCTGGATCCCACATGGCCAACTGCATGGTTCAAGTCCCAGCGCCACCAGCTTAAAAATCACCCTGGGCATGTGTGTATGCATTCTCAAAATCCTGAGAGGAAACTGGAGGAAAAGAGACTGCTGCCTGGCCATCCCCCCTGGAGAGTGATTTTCCACTTTCCCTCTCTGTCTTTCTCTCTCTGGTATGTGCATATGTCCTACAGAAAGCAAACAAATAAAAAAAGATTATAAAGGAACTGCACTATTGGCAATGTTAGGTATTTTCATACAATGCTAGGAGAAAGAAACTGAAACAATCTTCTTGAAGGACAATGTGAGAAAACCTAACACAGATTCAAATATTGTCAACATTTACACAGATAAGGATTTATACTGCTATAATTGTATGAAATGGACAAAACTATGGATATGAATATTAATATTTACTACAATACCATTCATACAGGAAAAGACAGAAAATAAAACTGTCCATTGATACAGGTAGAAGTAAAAAAAATAAATTAGAAAAAAATAGTATCAATGGAATTCAATTTCTTATTCTATCCTTTGTAATCTACTTTGAAAAAGGACATTAATATTGTCAAAACAATTATAACAAGATCTAAAGAGAGTAAAAAAGAAAAAAAAACAGGATTATATAGTCCAAATAATTCTCAATAGGCTGAGTCACAGTATCTATTCTGAAGCATGTGAAGATTTATTCAATGATCCTAATTCCAGAAAGTCACAACAGGCATTGTTTCACGCCACTGCTCTTAAAGTTGTAAAATATCTCACATCTGGGACGAGCAGCTAGCATAATGGCTATGTCACTGAACTCCCATGTAGTTGACCACGGTTCAAGTCCTGGACCCGGTGGCTTAAACTCACGCCAGCATGTGCGTGTGTGTGCCCAAAATCCCGAAAGAAGAATGGAGAAGAAGGGATTGTGGCATGGCCATCCCCCCTGGGGGGTGATTTCTTGCTTTCTGTCTCTCTGTCTCTCTGGGAAGTGCACATGCCCTTTAGCAAAAACCACCCCTCCCCCCCCAAAAAAAAAACCTCACATCTTCTCTTTAACTCACCTTAGCTGATATAGCCTTTAGATTAGTAACTAAAGATAAATTAGAAGGCTACATAATCAATTTCAAAGAGTAAAAAGTGAAAACAGTATATTTAATATTTTATAACTCCTAAAACTTTTTCACAAGTGGTAGAAGATGAAACTAGGAGGCAGAATATCATAAAAATTCCTAGGGAAGCCAGAGAGTGGTACAGTGGTAAAACGCAATGCTCTGCAAGGCTGACCCACATGGGAAGATTCCACATTCAAGTCTGGAGCCCTCGCTGTCAGTGCCAGAGATGCACATGCCAGCGATCGTGGGCTGGCTGAGGCTAGGGTTGATCACAGCACCAGGACCCTGTAAGGGATGCTGGCTCGCTGTCTCTCTATCTCTTTGGCTCATGGGACAAACTAAAAAACAAACAGTAGTACACTGTATTTCAGAAACAATCATTAGATGCTAGCCAATTATTCTTAGCCTATATTAATTATTAAATTTTTACATAAAATGTGAAATATCATGGTATCTACCTTATAAGATCATTTTAATCATACAAAACAAAATAAACATTGGCCTGCTAAGGGACCAGCACATGACATAATGGTTATGTTGCTGGACCACAGTTCGAGTACTGGAACTGATGGCTTAAACCTCAGGCCAAGTGTGTATGCACATGTGCCCAAAATCTTGAGAGGAGAATGGAAGGGAAGGGACTGTGGTGTGGCCAATCCCTCTGGAAGGATGATTTCTCGCATTCTGTTGCTCTGGCAAGCACACACGTCCTAAAAATCTCTCTTAAATAAAAAGAAAACTTGGCCTGCTAAGAACCAGCAGCAACACAATTGACTCTCACAGTTAGCCATTCTGAATAAAAGAAGTCTGAGAAATACTTTTTTAAAGAATTATTTATTCATTTATTTCCATTTGTTATTTTTCAATTAGACCAGAGACAGAGACAGAGAGAGAATGAGAGCGAGAGAGAGAAAGAAAGAAAGCCGCCAGTCCGGGACTCGAATCTCAGTCGGCTCTGTGGGAATCCAGAGCCTTTAATCACCATGCCACCTGCCAGTTCTCTCAGGAATACTCCTTAAACAAAACCTTCATAGAAAAATCAAATGTTATTTCTGTCAAACTTGCCAAAGAAAATAAGTTCAAGTACGTTAACATATCAAAAAGTTCTAATTTTAAAAAGAAGAAAACATACCTGAAAGGAAGGCTAGTTTTTTCTTCAGAATGGGTAATATTACTGAGGCCTCCATTTTATTCCAGTAAACTTCCCCACTTCTGAAAACACAGAAAGTTAAGTATCAATTACGAGATAATTATTCTGTGAAATATGTGCTTACGATGGCTTACCCCAGGTCTCACAACCTCAGAACTGCTGACATCTTGAGCCACAGCATTCTTCCGTGTAGGTAGCTGCTCTGTGGACAAGTGCGGTGGGCTGTAGCATATTTAGCACATCCCTGGCCTCTCCCCACAAACGCCAGCAGTACCTTATCTCCCCACTGTGACAACCAAAGGACTCTAGACATTGCCAAAAATCCTGATGAAATCACTGCTGGATGAAACTTGCTGTTCAGAGTAATAGTCCTGGGCTAGAATATGGCTTAGTACACAACAATAACTTAATATATTATTTGTGGAATTAAAGAATTAATCTATCAGTTTATTCCTTAATTCCAAATATCCAATTCTTTCTGCTTCAGGATCAAATGGCATTATGTAATTTCACACATTTTTACTCCTATAACACATGGTAACATACCTTCATGCTTACCTCAAGTTATTTCCTAATACGCTCTTTCAATGTTTGCTCCCCTAGTAATTTTCTCCATTTCTCTACATTTTACAGTTTCAAATTCTCCAGGGAAATATATGACTAGTCCAGTTTGTGTTTTCATACCAGGCCACAATTCACTGTTCTTGGTTCAGTTTTCCAGGGTCTACTCATGGCCACAGTCAGGAGTGATAGCTAAGCACAAAAAATGACGGACTACCTTATAGCCAGGGCTAAGGACAAGACAAGGAAGTTTCCCTCAGCTGGCAGCTTGGGCCTGGAAGGCATCCAGAGGCACCGCCAGCCCAGTATCCTGCCAAGATGGGATTTTGAAGAAAGAAGGACCTTTAAAACAAAACGAATCAGAGATCCAACCTCCTACTCTTAGTTTTATGTTCTCCATCATATTTCACCCCTTTCTTCCTGTCCCACCTCACACTCACCTACTATCGCAACACAGGCAGTCCCTTCAAGTGCACTGTGAAATTTAGTTAGTAAAAATGAACTGTCTTGAAAACGAGTTTTTCAGCAGAGCAGAAAATACGACCTCTAATATGAAAGCATAGTACTTTTTCCTCAAATACCTGCTATAACCTAACCTGTTTCAGCTAAAACTAGAAACTTACAGCCCTGTCCTGGGAATAAATGTAGTCTTTTTTAAATGTCCCAGATATTAAGACATAAACAAAACAAAACAAAAAAAAGGAGGGGCAGGGTTCATGGGCTGGTGGTGGTTAAAGCAGCCAAATCCTATGTGGATGACTTCATGGTTTGAATCCTGGATCCATCAGCTTGAGAAACACTCTAGGTGCGTGCGTGTGTGTATGTGTGTGTGTGTGTGTGTGTGTGTGTGTGTGAAAATCTCAAAAGTAGGAAGAGATGGAGGAAGAGGAATAGTGTGACTATGCTGCATGGAGGGGTGGAGTGTTTTCTCCTCTCCATCTTTCCCTGTTCCTCTATATCTCTCTGGCAAGCACACATGCCCTCTAGCAGAAAAGAAAAAAAAAAAAAGATGTAGTTTTAACATTGGTCAGATAATGGGTAATTAAGAAGCCTAATATTACTTTGCTGCTTTTGTGTGTATTAAAAAAAAATCACCATTGCTTGCACCTATCTACCAAGAGTATAAGCTGTCAAACCAAATGATAAATTCTTTTCACATTTTTATTCCTTAATTATTTGTTTGCAATTTGTTCTTTCATTTTTGTTCTCTATTAGCCCAGTTAACAGACAAGTAGTAGGAAGTAGGAAGGAAAAGCTCACATTTTAACACTTGTAACCTCAAACCAGTAGCACTACAGGTTTCCAGATCAATATTTTGACCTGATGTGCTGTTATCCAGCTATACAAGAATCCAGACAGCTTGGATTCACATCTTGGATATTTCTCCTGTCACCAGCTTATCAGGGGTAAACTTGAAAGTTTGTCAATGATGATAATAATAATTATGACAACTGATATATATCAAACATTTACTATAAACCATGCATTGTTCTAAGTGATTTCTTTTTTATTAACTTAACCTTCACAACATTTCTATAAGGTAAGAACTACTACTATTTCTATTTTATAGAAGAATTAGCGAGGGAGCAGCAGATGGCGTAATAGTTACATCACTGAATTCCCACATAGTCAACTGCAGTTGGAGTCCAAGACTTGGTGGTGTATATGCATGTGCGTAGGCACCCAAGGTTCTACGAGGAGAATGGAGAAGGAATTGTGTCATGGCCACTCCCCATAGGGAGTAATTTCTCATTTTCTGTCTCTTTGTCTCTCCAGCGAGTGAACATGCTCTATAGCAAAACTCTCCAAAAAAAAAGAAGAGTTAGCAAGGAACCAAAAAGGTTCAACATTGCTCCAATATCATACAGCTAGCAAGAGAAGGTAGGACTCATACTCAGGCAATCTTGTTCCAGCAATGATACATCTCACTATCAGTTTACAAATAAAGTAACTGAAAATATCAGTGACATCTGGCCAATTAAACAAGATGGAGCTCTAGACTAAATGCAAAATAAAATTATATAGAATATGCATGTAGCATAATAAGAAATACAAAACTTTAAACCACTGGACTCCCCTAAGTGACAGAAGTGTTTGTTTTTCATAATGAGCTACTTCTTATCAGACCCAAATTATGCTAATGAGGTAGTTTAGGGTGGGAACTCAGGATGAAGCTTACTGCCAAAAAAAACAAACTTCCATTAGAAGCTTAGAACTTTCTGCCAGATTCCCCCACACTGGAGGAAGAGGAAAGGGACTGGAGATAGCCAATGACCAATGATTCAATTAATTATGCCTATTTAACAAAATCTCCATAATAATTCCTAAACTAAAGGGTTTAGAGAACTTCTGAGTGGGTGAGTACATCAACGTGTTGGAAGAATAACACCTGGAGAGCAAATGGAAGATCTATCCCATCCCCAGGACCTTGTCGTATGCATCTCTTCTATTTGGCTGTTCATGAGTTATATACTTATAATCAACTGGTACTCTTAAGTAAACTGTTTTCTTGGAGTCTGAACCATTCTAGTGAATAATCAATTCTGAGGAGCCAGGGGTCATGATTTATAGACAACTTAGACAGAAGAGCAGGTAAGGGAGCTAACTCCTGTAGCTGACATCTGAGGTGATGGCAGTCTTGTAGGACTGAGCCATCAAACCTTGAGTCTGACACTAACTCTGGATTCTTAGTGCCAGAATTGAACTGAATTGTTTGACACCCAGTTGGTGGGCAGATGTTGGTTGGCTGATGTGAGGGAAAGCCCACACATTGGTGTCAGAAGTATTGTAAGAGCAGTGATATATATCTATACAGATATATTGTAGATATGCCATTGCCTTAATTCAGGCTAAGGCACCAACAAACACCAATGCTTTTATACCATAGGTGTAAATGTCAACGCAGGGAAAGGGCAAATAACACCTAAGAATTACAAAAGATAGTTTTGACCTCATGGACCCTTTGACAGCTAGAAACCACAGAACAAAACACTGATCTAGGCTGTCAACAGCATTCTACCACAAAGGAATTTCAACCTTAAGGAAGTAGTGTGGGTGCAAACGCAACTTAGAGAAACAGAACTGGCTTCCTAACTGTATTTTTCCTGTGGTATGAGTACAGACAAATTGTCAACTGCCTTTAATTCCTTACTATTTATTTTTTTGAGCCTATTTCTTCATCATGATCAAGTCTGTATATCACATAACACCTATTCAATAAATCTTTAGAGTAGGCTTCTCTTTATAAAGTCAATGGAGAAATTTGATTGGTGGGAAGTAAAAATACAATTTTAGAGTTCAGTAGACTGTTTTCCAATCACTTTACATTTTTTTAATCTGCTGCCATTTATTTTGGATGAAAATGCCCATTAATAAATCGAGATTTAACCATTGCCACAGTAAACTCAATAGCAACAAAGAGATAGGAACATCAGGAATTGCTAAGCTCCCGCAGGCATAAGAAATGATAACAGCTGCAGGTGACTGGAAGAGTAAAATCTGTGCAGTTGATGCTTTCCAAGGCAGATATTGATTTTATGCCAACAAGTATTAAAGTTTAATTTTTTACCACTGTGCTCTCCATATACTTAATGCAAAAAAACCAAGATGGGTTTAGTTTTTCAGTCTAGATTTACTTTGCCAAATATGAGAGCCAGAAGCTGTCCTCCATCTTATCATTGTATCTATAGGGATGGGTACATTTTCTAAACTTAACTTTATAGAACCATTCTCAGCATGGCAAAATACTAAGTAGTTGTTGTTGTTGTTGTTGTTGTTGTGTGTGTGTGTTCTCCCCTAATCCAGCAGATGTTTTTTTCTTTTTCCAGAACAGTTTGAAAGCAATAAAAAAGTAGTTTCAAGTAATGAGAAATATAGGTCCATTGGCATGTGGGTCAAGATCAAATGAAGTGACAGATGAAATCTGAAGCAGTCAAGAAACTAAAACTATTACATTTACAATCTATACCTTGTCCCTTGTCCCTTGTACCTTTCCAACAATCTCTCATTGTTGTCACAAAGATGCATAATGAAAAGTAATGACTAATGTACCAGTAGTTCAAATTAAGTTTAGGTTTTCAAAAGTTGTTTTAGATTTTCAAGTCTTTAGTCATAAGACAAACAAAATACACACACACACAAACAACACAAAACCAAAAAGGCACTTGCCTCATTCTGGTTATTTTAACAGCTTGTAAAAGAGTTAAAATAGATAAAGAACAAAACTTTAAAAAAAGATCTTGCTAAATATAACCACTGCTATCTTGACAATAATTTTTTTTAATTGCCAGAGGGCACATGTGCTTGGCAAAGAGAGAGAAAGAAAGAAAGAACCCCTCAGTGGAGCATGGTCACACCACAATCCCTTTTCCTCCATTTCTCTATTCCATTAAGATGTGGGGCCTGCACATACACACCCAAAGCGTTTTTCGAGCCACCAGGATTGGGATTCAGATAATACTTGGCCATGCAGGACCCAGCTTATTATGTACAACACTAACTG